GAGGCTGGAGAGGGATGGCAGGAGACAAATCGCTTGATCATTGTCTTTGGTCCACCCTCCCTGGGGCACCTGGTGCTGGCCGCTGTCAGTAGACAGGATACTGGGCTAGATGGACCTTTGGTCTGACCCAGTATGGCCGTTCTTATGTTCTTATGTTCTAACCCTCTCATGAGACCCACCTCTGCTTGTGGGACTTAGCAAATGCCCCTTTGGCAGCTGCTTGGGTTTTAAAATATTTCATTCCATTCTGTGAGTGATGGAAAAGGATTGAGGTCTGCAAAGTCCTTAGGCCTTCCCCTTGCCTCAGATTTACCAGACCGGTTGTCATTCTTGTTGGTGAAATACCAGTCTCTTTTGAAACTTCCTAGCATACAACTCCTGGGCTAGGTTCTCATCACATTTAGACAAGTGTGAATTAGGAGTCACTCCAATGGAGTTAAACGAATGTAAGCGAGAGTAAAGTCCTGCTAATGCTTTGAATTCCTTCCCCATTTTCACAGTGAAGAATATTATTTTCAGAGCCACAGACTCCATGAAATCCCCTAGAGACTTACAATAGATATCAATTTTACATAGTAGGCACCCAGTTATAGTGACGGGCAGCAGGATTAAACCCTAAGGCCAGGTCTACAGGAGACCCAGCATCCTGACTTAAGATACGTAACATCAGCTTCAAGTTTGGTGGTGTCCTCACAACGGGTTTGCTCCCATCTACTTCCCTTACCCCCTCGCTAAAGGAGGAGTACCAGATGTTAGCGGGGGGAGTCCTCTGAGCTCGATTTAGCGAGTCTTAACAAGACTCGCTAAATCAAACTCCAGAAGAGCGATTGTGGGAGCGGTGATCTTCCTTTTAGTGGAGTCAAGGCCTGAGAGAGATGTGTCAATGCCTCAACGAAATCAGTCTTCAAAGTGGATTGAAAACTGTGAACCATAAATTGCATGGATTCCAGTAGCCACTCAGGAAGGGTGAGCCTCGGCTAGGAGACCTTACTAACTTTCTGACTTCATAGAACACTAGAACCAGAAGGGAACGCAAGAAGTCATCGAGTCCAGTCCCCTGCCCTCACGGTAGGACCAAGCACTGTCTAGATCATCCCTGACAGGTGTCTGTCTAATTAGGGTTACCATATTTGAACTTTTAAAAAAGAGGACACTCCTGAGAGGGAGTGTATCTGTATTTACCAACTCACGTTGTATTAATGTGTTACATTTATATATATAACATATTAATACAATGTGAGTTGGTAGATACTGATACAGATACATTCCCTCTCAGGAGTGTCCTCTTTTTTGAAAATTCAAATATGGAAATCCTAAACCTGCTCTTAAATATCTCCAGTGATGAAGATTCCACAACTTCCCTAGGCAACTTATTCCAGTGTTTAACCACCCTGACAGGCAGAACTTTTTTCCTGATGTCCAAACTAAAAATCCCTTGCTGCAATTTAAGCCTGTTGCTTCTTGTCCTATCCTCAGAGACCAAGGAGAACAATTTTTCTCCCTCCTTCTTATAACACCCTTGAAAACCGCTATCATGTCCCCTCTCAGTCTTCTCTTTTCCAAACTAAACAAGCCCAATTCCTTCAGCCTTCCCTCATAGCTCATGTTTTCTAGACCTTGAATCGTTTTTGTTGCTCTTCTCCGGACCTTCTCCAATTTCTCCACATCTTTCTTGAAATGTGGTGCCCAGAACGGGACACAATTCTCCAATTGAGCCATAATCAGTACAGAGTAGAGTGGAAGAAGGACTTCTTGTGTATTGCTCCCAACACTCCTGTTAATGCATCCCAGAATCATATCTTTTTTTGCAATAGTGTCACACTGCTTGTCCACTATGACCCCTAAATCCCAAATTCTTCCCACGTAGGGGGATATTGGGCCACTCGGCCCCCCAGGACCACAGGGAGACAAAGGGAAACAAGGAGAGAAAGGAGAGAAGGTAAAGCCATGCTTGCAGCTCTGGAAACTTTCAGTTCCTTCGTTGATTCATATTTGTATCTTGTGGATCTTCTCATCAAGCCAAACTGAGGGGCACGGTCCGTGTATGGCAGCCCATGTTTGGCACACTGAGGCTACGTCTACACAGCTTCCCTCTTCTGCAAAAGCCTATGCCAATGAAGTGTGGATTAGCATATTGCCACGCTTCATTTGCATAATTAATTGGGAGCCGTTTTTGCACAAAAAGGAGCCATTTACACAGGCGCCTTTTTGCACAAACCCCCCTCTTGCACAAGAGCCGTTCTTCCTCATATTTTCAGGAAAAACGGCTCTTGCGCAAAAACCTCTTGCACAAAAACGGCTCCTAATGAATTACGCAAACGGAGCGCAGCAATATGCTAATCTGCACTTCATTTGCATAGGCTTTTGCGGAAGAGGGACGCTGTGTAGACGCAGCCTGAGGCTACAGGCTTTGAGACAGGTGCCTTGTAAGGAGCGAGGCCTGAATTGGAAGCAGTTCAGCCTTGGCCCCCAGAGGCGGCCAGTTCATTGTGGCTGCCCCTGGAGGATACTAGCCAAGCGAACCGGCTCCTCCTGAAATCCCGCATGCTGGCCGCCGAGCCCAGGGCTGCGTTTCGGCATGCCACTGAGTGCGGGTGGGAGAGACGTCTCGTCTCCGGGAGGCAGGAGAGCAGAAGAGCCCCCACCCCCCGGTATTGCTGGTAGCACGGTGACCGTGATGAACTTGTGTTCATTGATGTCTCCCTCCCGGCAGGGAAGTCCCGGTTTCGGCATTC